AGAGGCAGGTGGCGGCCCCGCGTCGTGGGCCCGACGCTAGGGACGGGGCCGGAGCTGGCAGAGGAGCTCGGCTGAGGCGCTGGGGGCAGGCGGTCACGCTTGTGTGAATATTTATTCACACTGACAGTTCTATCAACCATCACGTTTTTAGAATTAAGGATATAAACATGAGTAGAGCTGGAAGGCACTTATAGCTGCAACCCTAGTGCAGGACCATGTAAAAATTACTTAATGCGGGTCACAGCGGACAGACCGCTACACCGGAGCAAGCCGAGCTCTTCCGGACAAATCCTGCTCACCTCGAACACGCATGGTTGTCAGCTAAACGTGTATTAGGAGCAGTACAGCGTGAAACGCACCGCTCCGTCGAAAGCCTGACTTGACTAATGCAAACACTGTCTTCACAATTAGGACTTTCAGAACTAGATGATCCTACATTTTCAACTCCTTTGAACAGTGAATAAGAGTTTCTTCGAAAAGTATAAAGCCACTTTCAGATTTATTCCCCTTTTAATAAGTCAAGGATCAGCCAAATCAAAATCTTTATTTTAGACATAATGTATTAGGCCAACTTCCATAGTTTTCAGATAATTTGTGCTCAGAAAATTTGTCATGCAGTGGAAAAATGAGGGGAACGGAATTACAAACAGAGGAACAGTAACTTCTTCCCTTACTCTAAAGGGGAACTATCCAGTTGAAGTAAATATTTTAACAAATCTCTTATCAAATACAATCTAAGTTATTTTTCATCATATTTTATGTATTTTTTCTACAGTACAACACAACGTATTCATTGCCATTAATAATTACTTCATAGGGATTCAGGGTTAACATTGAAGCTATGGAAATACAATTTACTTTTTAATCACAGTTGCTGATAGCTTGCTGGCATGTTTTAGGATCGCTGAAGAACGGACTGCTTGACTTCCCCTACTCGTGCATTATGAATAATCACTGCCTGTGGAATAATGCGGTATGGGGAAACGTATAACCCCTTCAGCAGGTACTCTTCAATACTTTTCTTTAGAATAGTACAATTAAGTTGATTTCCCTATTCTTCACCAAAACACTCCCCAAAACCCTGCCATGAAAATGTTATGGAAATTCTTTTGAATGAACCTTTAAGCAAAAGTGCATGAACAGCAGTGAAATAAAAACAATCATTTGCCTGATCTGGAACTCTCTTATGACAGTTCAGGAGAAGGGAGAAATTCCCCTTCTGGTTTAGAAAATATTTGTTCAGTGCCTACTTGCCTAGTTAACATCCTCTCAACCAGGTTCCTATTTTAACCTTTTATCTGAGCATTGCAAAGAAAAAGGGGCTGCATCTCCACCCTCACAGGCTGTGTTATATACTTGGGAGTCATTCAGGAATCCTGCAACCACGTGTGTTCAGATGGAGGAAAGGGGTCTAACAGAAAGCTATCTAAGTACTTTGAGCCGTTTGCTTCCTCTATTAATTTAGTGAATTCATGCAATGAATGCGTATGTGATATTGGGAAAGTGGGGATCATATATATGTTCATTTCCAAATGCTCACAGACTTTTGCTTTTAGAAATGAAGTAAGTTTATTTGGGGAGGTGCAACTGAACCCACTTGCAGTTGCAACTTAAGTTAATGATTTGAATATCACAATTATTCATTTATAAATTTATGAACCAAATCTCTTAAATGCATGATCATGGAAGATGGTTTCCAAAGGGGAACAATATATGGAAATTAAGTGTTTGTGCTGTATTTAGATCAATTACTGAGATGGAATTACATCTAGAGAGTACACAGTAAAGGTCATTTCAGAAAAAAAAAAAGCATAGATCAAGCTTATTTTTTTAAAACAGATTTTCTTTGAAAAAAGAAAACCAAAGTAATTTGTTTCACCTACCTGAATATTTATTTGTCGTAATATGTCCAGCAGTAACTCCTGCAGTCTTTAAAGGCAGTTCAGAGCTCTTTTTTAACTACTACTTTAAGAAGCTTTCCAACTCTAATAAAGAAATAAAATAGGCAAAAATAGCATTTAACTACATAACGTTCAATTTCACAGGATAAACATTAAATTCAAGACATGTATTACTCTACTTTTTCTGACAGCAGGGCACAGTAAATCTTCCGCAATAAATTTCTTAAGTAAATAGTAGGAAACAATACAATTCTCAATCTCTTTTAGTGTTCTTAAGGGTTTACGATGTCTTTGTCAGGTCTACTGTATGCTTCAACTAGGTTTTCGAGTGAATACTGCAAATTGCAAACAATATGTGAAATCTGATATCTAACAGACCTTAAAAAAAAAAACAACACACACACACACACACTTTTCAAACTTCAAACAATTCTACAAAATACACACACTTCATCCTGCACTGAAAGGATGACTGACATCTATTTTGTCAGGGAGTGAAGTGCCTCTACACAAATGAAACCAAAATGTAAAGACAGCTACGCAATAGAGGAATGATTCTGCAAAGCTTTCCCTGAAAAATGGTAACAAGTAGACATGGTCTGCAAGTGATGTGGTAAGGACAAGTAATGTGGTGTTTCACTGTCATTTTGTGCTTCTCAAAATTCAAAATGTCTATGTTGTACATCTGTGTACTGCAGGT